CACGATTAGTACCGCATATAGCCAAGCCGCTCCATAAATGGCCAAATAATCACCCCAAAACTTGTATTGCAATCCAATTTCCCCGCTCTCTCCCTAGCAAGGAACCTCACAAACCGTGAATTGGGTCCCAATTCGCGTGGTGGAAACCGGGAAAACATGAGCTGAAGTGAGCAGTAAAATGTTAGGGAGGATTTTGCTTTATTATGTCATTGAGAAGATGATTGCAAGCACGATATGATATATGTATCGCATTGCCGGATGAGCCTCAGCTACAGCCAGGGGACCGGAAGGTACGCAGCAGATACCCTTCCACTTTTTACAGCTCCGCAGAGGTCAACTCGGTTAAGAATCCCCGGAGAAATGGATTCTGAGTCACGATACCGGGTTTAGCTGGCGTTCCTCCATGTCGGGCATGCTACTGTCTCCCCCACCCAGCTTACGTACAACCTTATGTAATCAAGAAGTGCCATAGACCCGGAGTGGATTACATGGTATATGGAGGTTGCCGTTGTTTACGACACACCGAACCCTGGGGTTCTACGGTGTTAGACCTGCTCGTGATACAGTTGGTCTTACCGATTGGCACCAGAATATGATAACGGTACTGTACCTGGAGGCGGGATGGTAAATCCGGCCATTGGAATCTAGTGTTGGGTTTGGGGCGCGCTGCACCAGTAGCTAGCTGTGCAAGTGTACGTTTGACGGTAGGCGGAGTGTGATGGAGAAATCCCATCGTGGGATAGTATTAGAGTTAGAGCACAGTGAGGTCTGATGCCCCAGGAGAGCTGCTTTGGGTAACGCACACAGGTGGGCCATTGGCCACCATAACATGTATTTAGCAGAGCTTCATTCTTTCCTTTCTCCGAGTCTTTATTCTGTATCATATCTCCCATCGAACAACAAGACACACACTCTCCTTTCCTATCATTGTCCATTTCCCTCAGGTCTACGCAAATTGCCATCACCAACGGGTGACTGTTCCGACTGCGCTACACCGACTTGCCATCAGGGTGGGCCGTGTTACCTGCGCCGGAGTGGGATGCCTATTTTCAGTCCAGCGGAAAAAAAGTGTAAAAATTTCGGGAGTCGCCCTCGAAAGCGAGCCCCAATGTAAAGACCCACATAGTTAAATGCCAGGTTATAGAACTTGGGGGGAGTCTGAGAGTTTGAGTTCTGGTTGTGAAGGTTGGGGTTCACGCCAAGAGCGGGAATCTGTATGATAATATTATCGTAGTGTGCCAGTGCTCCACATCGCAACCCATATATGGGATTTTTGCGAAGCAACGACGTGGGCTAGCTTTCGCATCCCGTGATCGGCATGTTACAATGCCAGCCAACGTCTGCGGGTACAGTACGGCGACGCAATGTTCCACCAAGAGCCAAGAAAATAATACCCCGACTTCCAAGCAAAAAAACACAATCAGGAAAGATGATAAAAAAACTAAATATTCCTTTAGGAATAAACCAGATCTGGATCGATTTATCATTATTTTCCCCTCCTCCCCCACCTTTTTTTTCTCCTAGGAAATCTTGGGGATATATTAGGTAGAGAAAATGTAATTGTTCGGGGGGGGGGGGACGATTTCTCGGGGTGCTAAACAGAGCTTTGCAGGATACTAACCATGCATCTAAAAAGAAAGAAGATACTAAAGTTTAGCAGTTTCTGGTTTACTGTCTTGAAAAAAAAAAACCAATTTCCAGGAGTAATTCTGAATGTATGTATAATTGCCAGTTATGGATTTATTACCGTAATGTATTGGTAATAGGTAAAGGTTTGTCTGGTATCCATAATATTATCGTGTCTTGCCGACAATCTCTGACAAGCACTGGCATTGGAAGAGGTGAGGGTAAGGGTTGTTTTAAGAGGTGGTTGTCGGCATTCCTCTTTTGGATTACCGGATGGAAAACACTGCGAGCTGCAAGCTGAGCCGTGAGCTCTCTCTCAGTGGAGATGTGGGAGTTGCGATACAGGAAGCCCGACACCCGATCCAAGCCTCTTTTTTCTTGTGACGGGGAGAGGGAGAGCTGGGGGTGGAGCAGGGGTGCTGTGGTGTAATTTACCGTATCTTAGAAGCGACTCACCTGGTATATGTTTTTGGTAGCCTGGTGAAGCGCAGAGAGCCCGACTCCCTAGCTCTGTGAGAGAGGAGAGAGAAAAAAAAGTATTCGTACTGTACGAGTACAGGGCAGGGATAGTCGACCAGCAAAATAATCCCTATTACTGGGTGCCTGTGCCAGTATTTGGGAGGAGAGGAGAGAAAGGTATTTTTGTTTCTTCAATCTGGCCAAAGCACCGTAGCGTAAGAAAACACTACCTGTTGCTGATCCCTGTTTATCACTGCAAGTTTTTTTTACCTCTCCTCCAAGACACAATATCGCCAGAATAATGTATTTTATTGTGGCAAAGTCGCCAGATATTATACCCAACAAAAAAGGGAAGAAAATGGAGAGGCAACCGCCTTGGGACGCACCGTTGAAGCTCTTTTCAAGCGCAAGCCAGAAGCAGAATTGACAATTTTCAAATATTGTGGCTTCCAAGATAGAAAGCAGTGGTTCCGATTGACGGACAAATGATTGAATTGCTCGTGATGTGAACAGGGGTGGACCCATCCCCAGTTGAGTTGTCGCTGTTTTCGATACTCCCAGCATCGTAATATTCGACTTTTTTTGGTTTTTCATGTCTCGGATTACTACTCGACGGAATAGAAAGGGCGCGGCAGGAAGGGTGCTTGGAACTACTTTTTTACCCATTGCCGTGGGCCAAGGATGGCTCAAGATCTCCATTCTGACAGACTTTTCTTTTTTTTGGCTGGCACTGTGCTGGAGTTGCACCCTTTCCTGCAGCATGTTGTGTCGTGCAGGGGAACCTTCTCTGAGCATCTTAATGAAAGTTTCATTACCGGTATTTTGCCGGACGCCAAGAACCGACCCTCTTTCTTCCCTTCTAAATATTGGGTGGATTCATAGAGTCAGATACAAAAGCGGAGTGCTTTGGCATAAATTCGTATGTGTGCAACATCTTTTCATATTACTCCTCTTATCGTTCTCAACTAATACTCGCTTTATCGAAAGAAAAAAAACGGGGTTGGTAGAGCCGAAACTTGGTAGTTGTTTGGACCGTTCGTTGTTGATCCAGTGGTGGAGAGGGGGCGATTCAAGACTCCCTGCAACCAAACTGCCAGTGCCACTCGCCCGGGAGAGTTAGCAGGGACGGTATTTCCACAGTAGGATACGTGAATTGCTCGGCTCTCCCTTATCACAGATAGAGGACACTGGGGGGCGCGCGCAAGGCTGTGCTTGCCATCTAAGTTAACTTATAAACCAGCAGCCGCCGCCGCTTTATTTTGCTTCTATCGCACCTCAAATAGAACGATCGTTGCCCTGGACGCTTCGGGGGATCCCAAAAAAGAAAAAGTCCTCCTTCTCTCCACCAAAACTCCCAAAATCCTTCGGGCTAACGAGCACCAAGAAGATACTGTACGGTTTAGCCTCCTAATGCCTTCCACCTTTAGCCTGCTTGTTTGCACCGGGTTCAACATCTTCTGCTGCTTCAGATCCACCGATAGCGCAAATGAACCCGAAATCATCTGTCGGCCCGCAAAAACTTCCCTCGAGGCTCCGGCAAGGCCCATCATGCAATTGGTACCAAGCCAACATACGACGGTTGCAATGACCCAGATTCCTAGCGAGCTCCCCTCCGCGGCCGACCTGGCAATGGGTCGGCAGTCTTAAAAGAATAATCACTTAACCACTTAATACTCGGTACGTTTAATCCTATGCTGTCGTCGTGGTAAAATGAAATGTCTCATTATCAGGAGCGATTCATGGACAAAGTTCTTTTACTGACGATGAGGAAAAGAGGATGAAATAGATAGAGAAGGGGGGGGGGGTGTGCCGTCTGGGAATGGGAGGATATTACCTGGCCGCTACCAGTTTTTTTCGTCGTTTACACTATCGGAATTGTTTGGGGTGTCCGGAGTAGCGGAGGGTCTATTTTCCAAAGATCAAATATGCTTCTTTTTAATGAAACTCTAGCCCACCTTAGAGGCTTTCTTCAATCTTAGAGACTGCTCTCAGATGACTTGTCATTTTGGGTTTCGAGTGATGAAATGTGAATTACTTTGTAGCGCAGCAACTGACAATAACGCACAAAATAACGCACGTATCACATGAGGGAAGAAATGTCAAGACAAAGAACCATAAACCCTACTCGCTGGTTCATGCGCTTTGAGAACACTACGGTGCCAAGGCTGCGTACAATGGAATCTTGGCGCCAGGTATCATAATTGCATTGTAAACTAGTCTTGGCATGCAAACAATTGGCGTAGCCACATCGACACTTTTTGTTCTGCTTGGTGCACGTTTTGGATGGCACGAATCATACTTACAGAGAGTATTTTGCTGTCGCCTATCGGTGGAGGGTGCCGCCTCTTGTTACCGGGTCGCAAAGTCCTCACCCACACTCGCTTACCTTCACGGCAACGCTCGCCCACCCTTACCAGATGAATTGCTGATACTACAAGCACCATAAGTCACCCAAACTTCAGCCACTACTGCGCTGAGATTTTCGAGCAATATGAACAGTAAGTCTAGCAGAAAGAGTGAAATCTAAATAGTAAATAAAACTCATTGAGCTAGTATTTAGTTATTGACCTATGGTCGCTGGGGATGAGTTGGGGTTGTTTCTTGTTACAAGGTTTACAGGGTTTAGGGTAGACGAGGACTTTGCAACTGGGAGAGTATATCATATATTTGCCTATGGAACTATGAATGCTTTGCGTCCTGCACCCTCTGGGGCAAATAAGCATCGTATCGTCCGGTTAGCACTATGGTGGGTGACTATGCGGGCGCCCCGGATGCTGAACTCTTTTGTCTCCCGGTTTTTTGTCTGCATAGTGGATCATATCAAAGTGGGTGCTAGTGGTCACGGCATTGTGGGGTACAGCGCGGATGTCTGGGAATACAAAAGACTGCAAAGGGCTATTACGGTTACACCATAGCACAGATAGCAATGTTTCATGTGGGTTGTCTCCCTTGAGAAAGCAAAGGATCATCTCAAAGAGGTTTATCAACAGCAGGAAAAATATCGGTATCCCAATTCCCTTGGAACCCAACAAAGCTGGGAGAAATCCACACACCCACGCCCTTCCTTGGTTATTTTCGACCTTCAACCATTATGCCTATTATCTTCGTTAGTAACTTCCTACCTATCGCCAAATCGTCGTGAAAACCGGTGTGAGAACTCACAATGGTACCTAATCAGCAAATAGTCAGTCAGCAAAATGCGCCCGGCACACCTCGAAATAGAGGGTGTGGACCCACCCTTCACTAGTCTTCACCGCTGGATTCGTATAAACCGGCCTGTCAACCGTAGACACCGCAAGGGCATAAGCAGCATCCTCAAACGCCTTGAGCAGAGACCCGCGGGTCTTCCATCCCAACGATCCTCCCTGACGTGCCTTGTCCTCGCTAAGCTCCCTGGCAACAGCGTCGAACTTCTCCCCGTTCGCGAGCCGCTCCAGGACGGTTTCCATCTTGCTGTGCTTTTCGCACAGGATGTGACGGACGTTTATGGAGTTTGCGGGCTTGAGCTTGTCGGATTTACTATCGCCCTTTGCGGAGGTCTTAGACGAGGAGGAGGAAGCATCTTTGGACTTGTCTTTGGAGTTGCTGGATTTGCTGCTGGATTTGTTGTCTGTTTTGGATTTTCCCATAGTTGTTGCGCGGGTAGTGGGTCGCTGGGTGGCTGGGGGGGTTGGGGCGGTTGGGCTGGGTGTTCGGGGGTGACGTTGGGATAGAGTGCTCTAGCTTCGTGTTACCCGGTTTTGGATGGGTTCTTGGCGGCGCTAGGGTCATGTTTTGTCACTCGGATGTACAGGTATTCAATTCCTGTTCACAAACGAGTTATTATTGAACGATCCGTCTCGCAGGGCAAGAGAATTATCAAATCCTGCCCTATGGGGACGGTACCTCAGTCTCTTGTCCGCGGTCCCTAAG